CTCTATTATTTAATCTTTTAGCATGACATCTTTTCAAACAAATCCCGTGTACAAGATAAGGGACCCGCACCCCTTTCAACTGGGAGAGAAAAGGATAAAACAAAAACAAAAAGTGACTGAAAATAAAGGGCACATTTTTTCTAAAGCTCAGTAGGAATTCTACCTTTTATTCAAAACCATCAACAAGGTATGGCAGCATTATGCTTTGCATTTAAACTCAAATTTTGTATGCATTTTATATTAGGATATATTCCATTTTATGTTGCTTCTAAAATACAAACCCATCAATTTTCACATGCATTGTTAACATTCTCTAAAGCCTGTAATAATTCTTCAAATAGTTAATTAAATAGTCCACAGTATTAGAGACTTTTTTTTTAACAGATCAATTATGAGTAGGTTCTTATATACACTTAGTTTTATAAGGAGCTTAGGATCAAGATGCCAGACACCATCTCTTAAACTCACGCACCCAAACAAGCAAGCAGAATTAAGAATGCTTACCATCTTGCACTACAGAATTACATGTAGAGCAATTCCTGCTGTAAGAGACAAAAAATATATTGTATTATTAGAAAGCTGAGTGAGATCTAGTAAGCAGGATCAACATGGTTGCACAAAGGGAGCAGACTCTGTGCCCCAGTGAGCAGACTCTCAAGTCCCAGCCGTACTCGTGCTCCTAAAATACATAGCAATTTGATTTTAGTTTTTCAGTGGGCAATTTTTTCCATTTATTATCAAAATCAGAAAAATAATTTCAGTTTCTTCCTTTCTCTTTAGAAATGCACAAAAAGTGTTAGCTTGAAAGAATGGAGAACTAGAAGCATCATGATTCCCACCACCATGAAATGTGCAATATATGTTTGTTCTGGCAGACACAAAATTACAGTATCACATATGTACAGTGCAGAATAAAGAAAATATCTGCCCAAACTCACTACGAATCTGATTTACTTGAAGAATCTATTCCAGCAAGAATAAACATCCCAAAGCTATCCACAGATCCCAAGAGTCCATTTGTCACGCTCCTGATAGCACAAAGGGCACTTTCATAAACTCCTTTCCCCCAGCTCTCTAAAAACTCCAACCCCGCAGCTGTTTAAGAAGGGATGAAAAAAGTTGCACTCTTCCAAGCATCTCAACGGCTGTCTCTTTAAATGTAACTTCCTCAAACCCCACCACTGAATCCAGCTCAGGATGTACTTATTCATCTGCTGGATCACTGTCAGAATCCAAGACTGCTAGTTTAATCCAGTAGTATTTGCTACTACCTAGGTGCCAAGCTGGGAAGGGCGACATGCCATTTTCTTAGAGGAAAAGGAGGATGCAGACTCCCCAAAGTCAAAGCTGCTTGTTCTAGGTTATGTATAAAACTTTCCTACCCAAGGGAAAAGCCTCAATCATCCTTCCCTTGTCTGATGGCAGAACAGAACCACTGCTGGTTCAATGCAAGGAAGTTTAATAAATCGTAGGCAGGGCTGGAAATGACTCGAAGCCTCTCAGGCTGGTACCTGCCCAAAGCTGAGCGGCGTACAGAGCACGCTGGGGTTTGGTCTCTCAAGCATTAGCACCCTTGTATTTCCTACAGGTCTCCAGCTGGCCTGGAAGAGACCCACAAAACCAAAAAGATTGGTATTTATATTTCTTTAAGGAAAGTTTTCTAAGTCACAAAGGCTTGGAAGTGTATAAATCTTGTTTGGAAATCCGTTCAATTTTATTGCAACTCAGAAACCACAGTGACCTAGTTTTGATGAGCTAACTCAAAATTAATTCACTTCTAAGATGAGGCTGCAGAGGAAACACCCCTCTGCCTGTTTTTACACTTGGCACTATAAAAGGCCATTAAACATCTGTGTCTTCGGCACCCTGGGATTAAAGGTCACAGCAGAGACACAACCTGAACTTCACATGGATTACAACAGCAATTCACAGCTCGCACACTAGGATCCCACGGGGAATGCCGTAATGTTTTACAAGAGGGAAGCAAAGGCAGGTGGGACTGATAAAAACATGCAAGTCAAGTGGGTCTTTCAGAAGGCTGCTAGAGGCCTTGCAAGTTTACGACTCCAGTTAGAGGTACAGTGTTTAAGGGATACATAAAAGTCTCTTCTGTTTTTGAACAAAGCGAGGTAGACGTAGCACAAAGAATGCGACATTTATATTCCCACGCAAAGTCCAAAAGCATATCCATGCACTTACATACAACTCAGATTTCTGTCATAACTATTTGTTCATAGGAATTTTGACAAAGTTCCCTAAAAAGTAAAACTCTGCCAAAATTTAGTACAATGCAGATGTGCTATCTGCTGAAGACAAGTCTTCTCAACACTTTTAAACAGTATGATACCTACATTCATTACTTCTTTTTTATGAATCAAACTGACAGGTATTTTTGTTTACCCTGTTTCTCTTCCCTAATTTAACAAGTTTTTTTAATCAAAGGGAGTATTTCATCCTTCCCACGTTTCTTCCTGGAGCAGCATGTTTTTCAGTTTTAACCCTTCAGATCATATTGTGGCACAACAGTTCCTTCCTAGCACTCTAGAAGAGAACGGGTGGACTCTGCAGTGAGGTTTGCCTTTCTCATTGCCCACTTCCCAGCAATGATTGAGCCATTGGGGACTTACAGCAACCCCTGTTTCTGTGACTTCTGATTTGATTTTGCAAATAGCAGCCAAAAGGATCTAGCCTTAACCTAAAATGGAATTCTGATCAAATCTGGTTTTTACAGATCATCACTATCAAAATCAGTACCAGCAATACATATGTAGTTTGTACCCTCAAGTCTAATTTTGACTCTCTAGCATGTTATGGAGGGAGTAACATTTTTGTAAAACAGCAGAGATTGTGACTCTGAAATCTCTTATTTTATTTAAATACATATCTAAAGGGAAACATTTGTCCTACTCCCTTCTGAAGAGTTTTCATTACAGAAGTTCCAGCCTATATGTATTATTTACCACATAGCAGATGCTGTTCAAGTTTCTTGTCCCCGTGAGCCGTTACTGGCCTGCCTGTCCACTACAACCTGACACACATTCACCGGGCTGATCAGTAATCTAATCAATGTAACTTTTATGACACAGAAAGCTAACACCTAGGACTACGAGTATCTTCACGGAGGTAATATTTTCTATTTAGAAGGCTTGCCACCAGTATCCAGATATTCCTTCTTCCCCAATCACAAACTTCCTCAGCAGTATAGACACTTCCCCACTAATACGCATTTCATCGAAGCCACTGTCATAAACCAGAGAGATTAAAGACTCTGTCTGTACAAAAACCACTTCCTCTGATTTCATTATCTCCCAACCACGACTATTTTAAAACCACTCGGCCTGACCACACAGGCTCAGAGACTTCTCCCTGAGTTGTTACATCCTGCTGTCATTTTCTGGTTGAAACAACTCATCCCCAGGTAACACAAGGTTTTATTCTGGCAGGTGAGTAATCTCCTTCCCACTTTGACAGGGGTTATACTTTCCCTTGCAACCATTTCCTTTAACACACTGGCTAATCCATCGAACAGATATTTGCTGCATTCAGTATGCAACACTTACAAACACTCCAGCATCCCAGAAGCTGTACATACTATCATTGGCAATCACTACGCTGTTTCCCAACTGGAGCTGGCTCTAAGTACCACCATCCCGCCTGTCAGGACCTGCAGACTCAGCCATCACCATTCCTATATTCCAAGTGACAACTGAAGCCTGTCCCCAACACACCAGCAGGTACCAACTCCCAGAATGGGCACAGCATGAATTCTGAGCAGGCCAGCAATAGCTCAGCTGTAAGACCTCAAAGTGATATACATATATATATATATACATATATACACACACACACACACACACACACACACACAGATATATATATATATATACACACACACACACTTTTACAAGCACACGGGTCTCTGTGACCCTAACTGGGGATTTCTGTGGTCTGGGCTCATCACCCACTGTGGCAGATCCGGATCACTGAAGTACTTTTAGTGCCAGCTGTTTCAGATACCCATCCCTGTTAAGTAATAAAGGCTGAGAGAAGGAATCCATGTGTCACACCCACCCTCTACCACACCAGCAGCTTCTCCCTGTACAATCAGACCACAACGCCTATCCAATCTCCCGCACCACGCTAGCACTGACAACCCAGGCCAGCACGGACTGGGGTCCTGGGTCCCAAATCTGACCCCACCATCGGCCTGAAGCGCTGCCTAGCACCTGTCTGTGGGGAAAAGCCCGCCTCCTTCTGTAGGATGCAGGCCACATTACACCCTATAGAAGGGAACGGCGCGGCTCCCGCAGGAGACACCCACCCCCGGCCGCCCCTGCTCAGCCGGCCCCGCCGTCTCCCCGCAGCACGGGAGGAAAACGCTCCCTCCGGCCACAGCTCCGCCAACCCCGCCCGCACCTGCCAGCCGCCTCCCGAGCAGGGCGGGACAGAACAAAGCACCGCCGGGGCTGAGGACAGCACGGGCAGCACCCCCGGCCGCTTCGCCCCTCAGCGCCCCACACAACGGCCGCCGCCTCCCCTCATGGCGGCCGGAGCCTCCCTCATGGCACTCGGGGCTTTATTCCCTCAGGAACACCATCCGCCGCTCTCGGGTCAGCCTTTCGGAGGGAAGCTGCACAGACCTGGCTCTCCCAACATCCACTGCCCGGAGAAAAGCCCCCAGCACAACACGGACGCCTCCCTCACAGACCCTGCCCAGGCCAGGGCCCCGCTCTGCTACAGCCTCCCAGGGCAGCTACCAACTTCACACACACTTGGCACACCGCTTTCAATCCCAGCATGGACAGCAACGATTTACCATCACCGGGCTTGAAATTTAATCACCTTTTAATCGAAAGGCTTCAAACTATAACGTGACTGAAATGAAAATAAGGTGGGTTTGTGGGGTTTTTTTCTTTGTAACCGCTTACAGCTCTGTGCCGCCCAGCCAGTGCTGTCAGGCAACTTGAGTGCAATTGACTCCTCGTCACGCATACACTTACCAAAAAAATCCTCATACGGGTGGACTTGCTGTAACAGCCTTCCCCTGGTTACGGCATTTGGGTGGGAAGGAGGACAGCGGTAGCCCCAGTCAGACACAGCGGTGGCCTCAACATAGCAAGTACTGAAGTATCAGCCAAGGACATCATTTAGATGCTCTTATTGCAAAAGACTAGAAAAGTAGCAAAAAAAAAAAGTCTCCTGTGGGTAGGAATACATGTCCCAGAAAACAGTTAAGCTCATCCAGCAGGGGATAGCAGCATATACCTGTCTGTCCATTCCTCCTTAAATCAAGTAGAACAGCCTTCAAATGGTCTGCTTGGTGATATCACTGTACCTTGAAAATAAAAAAGCCTGACAGTACTATAGGTGGTAGAAAAACATTCAGCAAAAGCTTTGAAGCTCTGATATTCATTTGTGCTGAGGTCTTTGTATACCATTCAGGCATAAAATCACACTCCCGGTCACTTTAAGTCCCTTTATCTTGCCAGACAGGTGTAAAGTGGCTCTGGTTTAGATGAAAAGCTGGTGCCAAATATAGTGTTTAGACAAATCATTTTATCCTGCATGTGGCACTTCCAAGGTCTTCCTTCAGCACAAACCGTTCTCAGCAAAGCAGTGCCAATCCAGTGGGCAGGGAAGTGCTGAAACCTAGAGCAGACAGAAGCAAGAATCTCAGGAAAATTATAAGTGTCTATTTTATTAATGAAAATACAATCAGTGGCTGTTCAAGACTTTCAAAATTCAAGTGGTGATATAGAGTACGTACCAGCCCAGATCCTGCCAATTAATGTACACAAGTCATCACTAGCAATTAATCTTATACAGCTCAGGCTTTCTGCTTGTGAGCAGCCCCAGCTGTCTGTATCTAACTCAGCTCCACAAAAGAGCTGCCGGTTAGCAAGGGCCAGACCGTATTTATAGCACAGCTCCAGCAACAGAGTACATCACGGCTATTGACAGTTCTTTCTTTCCAGACTCCTATATGGCAGTGACACAATTTACAAACAAATTTGGACTTTGTTTTGTGTAAGCCTATTTCCTTAACACTCCCTCAAGCGTTAAGGGAAGGACTTAACACCCCTCTGAAATCCCCCGTCTCTGCCCCCATGCGAAGGGCATTGCCCTCTATCACTGCATGCGAGGGCGGGTGGCAGAGCACTCAGGGTAATAACTACTTGCCAGAAAAAAAAGCTGCTTGATTAAGACATTAATGGCAGCCCAAGAGAGACGGGATGTTTGCTAAGCCCCAGAGACCCGTTTTAGCCCTGCTGAACCCAGTCCCTGCCTACATCCTCTGTAGCAAGAACATTAGCTTACAAGTTTCCCAACCTGGGGAAAAATGAGAGTTTGGTTTTGAGCACCCAGGGCAATGGCGTAGAGAAGTACATGCATTGGCAATGAGTCCTACAGCTTAGGGAGAGCAGAGTTACAACATCAAAGACACATATATCAGCTGGGTTATCGCAGTGGATAGCTTGGATACATGCCTATTAGGGTGTGCTTACAGAGCCTGCTTTATTGCCTCTCCATCAGGACATCACCTCCACTGACACGCTGCCATCGGTTTCACAATAAAACCTTCAGCAGCAACACTGGCTTAATAAATTGCCGGCCCTCACCATCCCCACTCACCCTTGGACCGTTCTGTACTGTTCGTGCAGCAAAGATTGGCTGAGGAATAACCCAGGATGACGAGGGCAGGGGGCATTTTCTGTGTTGTTCTTTAAGCTGGAGCATGTCATACCTCAGCCTCAGACAGGGATGGCACAAGGCTGGTCTGTCACTGTGGCCTTGGAATCACCAATACCAGCTCTCCAGGACAAGTAGAAAGTCCAGACTGCCGTAGGCAGCCTCTGTGGAGCTCTGCAGATGCCAGCAGCACACGAGAAGGATGCAATCAATGAAGAATCCATTCCGCTTTGCTGATCTTGGAGTCCTGAAGAAAGCCAGTGGGATACCAGGGTTAAGGATCACGTTCTCCTAAACCTAAAAGCAAAACAAACCCCTCCTCCAGGAAAACTGGAAAAGTAACAAGGTCCTGAAATGTACAAACCCAGGAGCCATCAGCTACCAAGAATAGCTGCATACATGAGAAGCTTTTTATTATTATTATTATTCAGTTTGTTTTAGTTACCACCACCCCCAAGCACAGCACATCCAGTCGCGCTGCTCTTAACTCCTGCTCCTGCTTGCCTCCCAGTCAGAGCCAGACAGTTTGTTACTCCTGTGGTAATGAGCCCCTCTCCTCCTCAATCCCAACCTTGCAAGTTTCCCTGAACTGCTCCATGAGGATTACAGTAAAATTATAGGAAAAAAATATTAACAAGCCTATAGGGGGTCTTCAGAGAACACAGCAGTCTCCTTGACACAGTGGTTCAAACATCCAGGCTACCCACCCCACCTTCTATCAAGCCCTGCAGAACACCAAACCAGGGTGGACCCCATCAGCTGCAGGTATCATGCCAGGTTCATCTCTATTTCCTTGCAGGCTAAAAGTGCCTTGAGATCACTTTTTGCATTAGCACAAACTCTCACCACCAAATGATCATCCCACACCTTCTTCCACCACATGTACTGGGAGATAAAGCCATTTCTTTGCTGCTTGTGACAGCTTCTCCACAGCCAAGAGTATGAGATGTGTGAGCAATGTGCAAGGAGAAACTAGCCTCTAACCCTTGCAGAGGACCTTCCAGATGATGGACACTGCTTCACAAGGCTGAATTCAAAGGGGTATCTGCAACAAGTGTCTTGGCAAGGTATGTCTAATTCTCAAAGGGAGGGGGGTCACCAGGAACAGGCCATCACCAAGAGATGAACAATATTCCCTTCAGAGGCAAACACCCCGGTACCTCACTCACTGCCTCTCACTCAGAAATATCAACAATATTTCCACAGAGAATTACGACCAGATCAAAGAAATGCCACACTGAGTTTCCTTCAGATGACACCAATGCCAGATACAACCAGGATTTGGGAAGTGTTTTAAAAAACCCAAAGCCAGAAGGATCCCTGTCCCCCATTTCCATTGCATCAAGCATGAAGTGCCTGCATTTGCTTCCAGTGCCCGTGGTAGCTGTGCCTCCCAGACTGCCTGTCAGCTCTCCTTCGCTACCCAGCGTTGACTCCCACCTGCCGTTAGCCAGAGCCATCAGTCTCCATCGCCTACTACCAAAGTGTTTTTGAACCAGCACCTCCAGGATGATCCTGCTTGGCTTCAGAGAAGCTCCCCACGTCCTTCATCAGATCTCCCCAGAAACCTGCCCTGCCTTGCCGTGCACAGAAGCAGCTGTAATCCCAAACACAAAGCCACCACCTCCCAGACCAGCCCCTCTGTCTTCTCCTTCCTCCCTCTCCTGTGCTCATAAAGCTCTCAAGGCAGGGACTAGCAGGTGCTAATGCCCCCACAGCAGGGCCAGCTGTTGCAGCACTGCAGATAAACAGCATTACTGGAGTCTTAACTAAAAATCACTGTCTTAATGAAGGTGTTTCTCCTGTGCTCAACATACTTGCAAAAACCTCCCCCAAGCTGGGTTGGAGACCTCCAAGGTTTCTCTGGGCACCAAGCACAGTCACCCCCCCCACATGTTCAGGCCTCTGCCCCCAGCCCCCCCTCCTGTTAAAAAGATGCTCATTAACCTGTCACAGGCACATTGACAGATAAACTGGTCAGCATTAGCACCCATGTAAAGGCCTAAAGTTGAACAAGTCCAAGCAGAGCTACAGCTGATCCAAATAATTCCACAGGTACTACTGTCAGAGCACCCCGGGAAAGGTGTTTGGTTCCTGGTGAGAACAAACACAAACTCCCATGCAGTACAAGCTGGGTGCCTTGCCCCCCTATTTTTGGCTTTTGAAAGGCAGGAGGCTGGTCTAACAAGTTGCAGCCCAGGTGGCTGGATTCGCTCCTGTTCCACCCTGTGTGCCTGAACCCTTAAAACCAAGTTAATTCCTGCTGTAAACTAAAACTTGTTTCAGACAGTCTAACCTGGGGACAGATACACTGGAGTCAAGCTGAAAGCACAAATTCAGGCTCTTAGACTGACACACAGGGGTTTACAGGCTGCTCTGGAAGCTGAAATGCCACCCAAAGGCAGGCAGGGACTCTCCACTCACAGGGGTGGCAATTACCAAGGTGCGGGGTAGCACCCAGTTTCCACTGCAGCAAGCAGGGCAGAGCACTGCTGGCACGTTCCCAGCCAGCTTGGCAGCTCCTCTCTTGGGCACAGCTCTTCCCTTCTGCGCCAGCACAGCTGCTGAGCTGCCCCTTTGGCACAGCCATGAGGTTTCCAAGCTCTGCCTCAGCAGGTGAGAGCACCTTTCCAGCCACAAAGTTGTTTCCTCAGGCACTGCTCCACAGGGTCCTTCCCTTCCACAAGCTGTCTCCTGCACAGGGACCCAGGGCACTACATGCCTTTACAGTGCTGTGGGTTCACTTTTGGCATATAGTAAACACATACGTGTGCACACGTATTTATTTTACTGGCCTTGACAGAAAGCCTAGAAACAATTTCTCCCCCAGGTTGCATTTGGTAATTCAGCACAGCCTTTGCTGCTAATGATTCCAAGCACAAACTCATCCTCCAGCTGCTTTTCTAAATTTGTGCCAGATCTAACTATGGAAGCCAAGCCTCAAAGACTTGCTATAAATCCCGCCAGCACTCCCCCCTCCCAAGGACATTATCCAGCATTACCCAAGCTGTGACTCTTCAAGCCCAGAAATTTCTCACTGGTAAATGGCCATCTCCACTGAAGAGGAACATTAAATAACATTTCACTGGAGTTCTCTCATCACTGCTGATGCTGCTTAGCAAAGCTCAGGGCTTTTTCCTGCCCAGCAGCTGCAGGTGGCCTCTCCATCAGAAACAGGCTGGTGAGTGGTTAAAGCCATGCTCTGGGCTGCTGGCACATTTGCCACCATCCTCCAACTCTGTTGCACCCTCCCTCTTGGACAAACCCCTCATTCTCAGCAAGCCATGTGTTACTCTGTGCTAAAGTCTGCTTTTTCACCTTGGATTGTAAAGCCTCATGGGCTTGCAGGAAAAAAAAACCTCAAACCCTAAAGGCTCAGAGGGGAGAAAA